CACTGACCCTGACCTTGGAGTGCGGCCCCCCCCTCAACCTTCATTGGATGGAATTCTCCCCTGAATTTCTTGTTCCCCAATAAAAGGCTACTCCCTGGCGTGCTCGCTCGCTCTCTCTCCTGCTAGCCCTGAGTAATCCTTGCTGCCCTACGGGTGGTTCGAGGTTGGAGCCAGAGAGGGGAGCCGTCTAGGACCTAGTCATAGAAAAAGGTCTGTGTGTTTTATTTCGATCTCTGCTAGCTAACTTTTATGCCAAGAACCTCATTAATGAAACCAATGCGCTGGCCGAATGGTGGAGGGGATGAAGATTTCCCAGTAACTCCAGAGTAAATAGGCAATGAGAATGAAGCTTTTCTTCATTTTTTTTCTGCAGTCAAAAAAGTAACTGATGGTGAAGAAAGAAACCCAAGGAGGAAAGCCAGAAGCTCGATATTCTGTCTATAGTCTAAATTTTCCTCATTCCCCACCTATCATTACTTTGACACTAAGAAGCAGAAATATGAATGACTGGGGTGACCAAAGTCCTAAAAGTAGTCAATGCAAATAAAGGAAAGACATACTTATTTATAGACCACTTTGATTTCAGAAAGAGAGAAAGAAAGAAAGGAAGGTAATGAAATTTATTTTTCTATCACTTAAAATGCCAAACGATTGCTCTTTTCAGGAAGAAATTTAAATCGAAAGAAATAATTTTTTTTTTTTTACCGATTAAATTTATTTATTTATTTATTTATTTATTTATTATTTTTATTTTTTTTTAAGAAATAATTTTTTTTTATATTCAGAATTGTTTTATTTTGTTAAGAAGAAATGAAGAATTTTTGTGGTATATTGAGGTTCACATTTTGTGTGTGTGTGTGTGGAGTGGTGTTATGGACGCTGAATAGCCAAAGGGGCGGGATGTATCTGTTATTCAGTTATTGCCTCTCAGTGCTAAACCCAACCTTTTATATTTTGTGAGCCTACATTCCTGCTTTTCCAGATGGCTCTGCCAATAAGGACACTAGATGGAGATTTCAAAACTGGAGGAAGAACAAGTGGTTTTCTCCTTTCTGTTTGATTCCTGAGGGTCTCCTGTCTGTGCATGGTTCTTCTGTTACCCCGGCAAATCTTCTTCATCAGAACACCAACATTTTCTGCTGTGACCAGCGACAGAACCCAGTGTACAGTTTTTCTAACACTGAATGAACTTCGTCGTGTTTTCCATGGAGCCACCAGGAACAGGCAGCAAGTATATCTTCTGTAAAGATTCGGGTCTTAGTTCTCTGGGTCCCTCTTGTGAGCCCAGATGATGAGCTCTGGCTGAGTAATGTCTTCTGCTCAGATATCTGAGTTTCAGGTCCTCAGGGTCTGAAAAGTTTCCAATTTTGAGTAATTTCAACCTTTGTCATGTGCTTCCTCAGATCTCAGCAGTTGCAACCTTCACGATATTTTAGTCACATAAATGATTCATTTAATATGGTGTTTTGACTTGGCGGATACCCAGTTATTTATTCAAATTCTAACCAGGTGTTATTATGAGGGTTTGTTGAATATGTGGTAAACATTGTCATTACATTGACTTTAAGTAGATTATCCTAATAGTGTGGGTGGACCTCAATGATCTGTTGAAAGACTTTAAGAGCAAAACTGAGGTTTCCTAGAGGAAGAAGAAATTCTGCCTCATGTCTGCAACATAAGCTCCTGCCTGAGAGCTAGCATTATTCAAAGATTTTTTAAAAAAATGGAAAAAAAAAACAGTTTGGGAAAAGCCACAACTGCTAAACATTAAAAAAAAAAATGATAAAATAACATTCAGGATATTTAATAATTTAATTCAAGGATCGAGTTACTTAGAGAAGCATAAAGTAACAAAGTGTTCCCCTTAACCATTATTAAGAAAAACAGAATATGTTTATATGCTGTACTGACCTCTCTGCATGTTGGCCGGCTAAAAACTTTCCACAAAAAAATAAAATATTGACAAAAACAATATTAATGTCAATTGCCAAGGAGGAGGAGGAAATTCTGACATGTAAGATAAAAGCCCATGAGAAAACCTTTTTTGAAAACAAAGACAGTACTTGCTTTTCCCACCTACGATATTAATAACCAAGACCCCATTATTCTTTGAATAATGCTAGCAATTGACTTGCAAAAAGAAGCATGCCTTGAATAAGAATATTATTCTTACATAATACATGTCATATTCAGAGGCTCATCAAGCACAGCATAGTTAATGCTTTAAAATGTGCTGTGGTATTGCTGCTACATAAATATTTTAAATGACAGGTTTAAGAAAAATGTCTTAAAATTTATCTAAAGAGCAATAGTCTTTTAAAGATACAACTTAACTGAGCTACAGACAAGTTTGGCTCAATTGAGTTTCTAGAGACTACCACACACAGGTTTAGTCCACTGTCTACAGAGGGTTCACTGCTGGCTCTGATGCCCACCATCAGCTGAGGCCGGAAGACTTAAAACAGAATCAGGTCTTCGAAAAGCAAGGTTTGCTCCTCTCTGCCTTCTTGCAGGAAGTGCAATCAGAAACCACATAGACCACTAAGTACATAAACTAAAAAATGCTACTTAGAGACCAAAGCCAGGTAAGAGCATTGAACTAGCCAAAGAACAGATTCTAAAACAATATATTTTATCTATCTACACACACACACACACACACACAAAATGAAAACATATTAAGCACATCAAGCAAAGATCATTTGTAAAACCAAACTCTGTAATTTGAAGAAAGAACCAATTCATGGAATGACAACAGTCATTACTGTAAGTCTCCGACATAGAACAAACAAAAGAAAAATATCAGAGGAATGAATCAGACTGACCAACCTTATCTTGAAATCTGGCTGTTTAAACAAAATATAAAAGACTAAAAAAAAAAAAAAAAACATACCACTTATTTTACTGTTGTTCTGGTTTGGATTTGGAATGTTCACTTAAGTTCATGTGTTGGAAGCATGGCACCCAGTGCAGCAAGGTTCAGGGTGGGATTTTAGGCAATGATTAATTTAATAATTTGAATGGACTACTGGGTGGTAACTGTAGGCATGGCTGGTGGCATGGTCACTGGAGGTGTGGCCTTGGGCTATCCCCTTGATCTCTCTGCTTGGAAGCTGCCATGAGCTGAGAAGGCTTCTTTCACTGTATATTTCTGCCATGATGTTTCTTCAATGGAGTCAGCAGACGATGAATTGGGACCTCTGAAGCCAGGAGTAAAAATAAATCTTTCTTCCTTAAGTTGTTCTTGTGAGGAATTCTGGTCACATTGATGCAAAGCTGACAAACATAACTGAATTAATTTGCCTCCAGCCTTTAGACAGTCCACAAAATACACCACCATGACCCTAATTCAGAACCATACTTCGCAAAACTTACAGCTTCAGGCAGAACTTCTTTCACTTTAGAAGCACAGCCTACAAATGAGGGCAGATAATTACCGATTTAAAGAAAAACACTGATCATCTTTTATCAACAACAGTCAAGCACAAAGTCAAAAAGCACTGTTCAAGTCTCAGATTCCACCAACTAGCAGTCTAACCTTGAAAAAAATAAATCAAATGCTATTAGATGATAACATCATTGTTGAGAATAAACAGACAATGTCAATCCATCTTTAAAAAGTATTGATTCTTCTGTGAACCCACTTTAAATCAGCAAGTCTTATATTCTTTACTAAGTGCCACCTGGGTCAGACTAAAGGCATGAAACCAATCCCATGACGTTTTGAACTGTCACAGTGGCCGAGTTGTTTTCCCCAGGTAACCCGTGCAGTCCAGAATGAAGAAAGAAAATCATACAGGAGTTCTGTCAAGCCAGTCAAACCAGGTAAACTCTTCAAGACTGATGCTTTCCAACTTTCATATCTCAATCACCACAACTACCATTTAGTCTCCAAGCTAAATGTAGGTCAAGAGCCCTGAGAGAGACAGCATGTGAGCTATACCTATGGAGGCCTCTATCTGCCAGTGTGAAATCAGAAAATATCTTCATTTTATGTCATGTACCTAGCAATAACACTGGCACCAACCTTTCACCTTCAGTTGGTGAAGAATGTCAAGGAATATAAATTCTTCATGTCTGTAACCAATTCAACAATGCCAGAAACTCATATAATCTTTAGGGAGTTTGACATCACATCCATAGTGTGGATTTTCCAGGTTTACTATAATTGTACTGGTCAGTACAATTGTGTCCAAACTATTGTGCCCAAATACTGTTGCCATATTTAAAATGGGACACTGATCTTGCTACTGAAAGTGAACAAATTGGTGAGAGGTTCAATAAGTCATATAAAAAATTAAAAATTGAGCATCCTTCATCTGAAGAAAAGCAGGTATGGTGTGACATAAAAACCATCTTCAAACTGTTTAGGGCAAATGGATGGAGGAAAGTAAGGAAGAATCCTAAAAATTGGCACTGCCTTAAGAAATCTATTTTTGACCTGGGTGTGGTGACACATGCCTGTAATCTCAGTGGTTCGGAAGGCTGAGGCAGGAGGATGGTGAGTTCAAAGCCAGCCTCAGCAAAACAAAGAAAAAGGAGGCGCCAAGCAACTCAGTGAGACCCTATCTCTACACAAAATACAAAATAGGGCTGAGGATGTGGTTTGGAGGTCTAGAGCCCCTGAGTTCATCCCCAGTACCCTCCCAAAAAATCTGTTTTTTGTGTACATCTGAGATTAATTCTGTTTTTTAACTGTTGTAGGTGATACAGATGGAACTTTAGTACTTGAGGGGAAGTCCACTTCTTGGTCTTCTTTCAACATGAAAAGCTCTATAAACTGGAAACAATTTATGAATCCCTGGGCAAACTCAAGCTATTTTAGCCATTATTATCTACTTTTCTGCATAAGGTAATAGTTGTTAATCCTGTTTATAAAAGTAATAGAGGTTAATTGTAGGAAAATACAAAGGAAAATAAAAACCAACCATAATCTCATCATTGAGACACCAGTGTTAGCATTCTGGCATTATAACAAAATTTAATGTCAAGGGCTGGGGTTGTAGCTCAGTGGTAGAGCGCCTGCCTCACATGCATGGGGCCCTGGGTTCAATCCTCAGCATCACATAAAAATAAATAAATAAAAATAAAGATATCATGTCCATCTACAACTAAAAATATATATATTATAAAAAAAATAATGTCAAGATATTTATATGCTTTTTGTCCTCATTTTTGTATTTATAGTAATCAATTTCCCAAGTCTTTAAATATTTACCAAAAAAGCATGATTTTAATGACTACATAATAAGTAATCCAATGTTTGCATATGCCTTATTTCAAACATTTACAATTTGAGCACAGGTCATTTAATTTTGATTATTTACAATATTGCCACAATGAATATCCTTATACATGGGTCTTAGACACATCTCTAATAATGTTCAATGTGTGCACAGTCAGAATTTATCATAGGCCTAAGATATAAACCATTTTGAATTATAACAATGAAAAGACATAAATATATACACACCCACATGAGACTCTCAAAGCAAATGCAAAGCTCCTATTATTAAAACTAACCAAACTTAATCCTTCTTTAAATAATTACTGCCACTATCTTCAAAATGGCTCTGACCAATGCAAAAATGTTTACAGTTGCATATTATAACTATTAATTTAAGTTTGGTTCATCTGTATAATGTGGAGTAGTTCTGAAGTCTTAATATCAACCATAAATAAGTTTGTATCTCAAGATCTTTCAATTAACCCAGACAACTTCAGGAATTAAGGTAGGCTCTTAACCCATATAAAGACAGCATTTTACAAAATAACATACAAGCCTTTTAAACTAACACCAATAAATCCTTAACGTACACTTCAAGTCAGTAATCAGGTCCTGCCTTGTGGCTTTTTTAAAAAATCCTACTTTATGAATTCAATTTGATTTTCTTTATAATACAAAGTTTTGAGTGTGGTTTCAAGAAGAGAAATCATTTTAATCAATAACAACTAAGCTTTCATGAAAGGTTGATTTAAGATTATTATTATTCACTTTTTTAAAAATCATGCTAGCAATTAGATTACAATCACTACCATTAAAACATACACTTTAAAAGAATCTCAGTGACATTTCCTGCTTTCATGTTTCCAGAAAGAATAAAAAAACAGTAAATGTGGTTTTCATAAAGTAGTTGCACGAAATGACTGCCAAAATAAAAGCCAAGATCATGCCACTCCTGTTCAACTCAATGCAGGTGACTTTATGACATGCTATGAGAATATGGATTCAGTACCCAAGCGTCCTGTGCTCAAATGTACAAGGGACAGAAGCACAGAATTTAGAGGACCACAAGAATGGACGACGAGATTTCACTTCATCATTTTCTTAATCTTTTCTCACTAACCCACATTTAAACTCTCAATACAAGACAGCAGATAGTAAGATACAAAAATAAGACCAAACTGCATCCTTAACAACTTTACAAAAGATGATCTGACGGTGGGCGGGGGAGGCTGGGGTTGTGGCTCCACGGTAGAGCACTCACCTAACATGTGCGAGATGCTGGATTGATCCTCAGCACCACATAAAAAATAAAATAAAATAAAATAAAGGTATTGTGTCCAACTGCAACTGAAAAAAAAAATTTAAGATGATCTGACAGCCTTTGGGGGTGGAGTTCTGTGGCGAGCCATCCTTGGGCTATGTGTGGACTGTCTTGCAAAGCAGCCTAACTGAATAGGGAAATCTGGTGTCTGGAAACTTCCAATGGACATTTCCTCTGGTTGACTGCCCAGAGACACTGTGAGTCCTATTCAAGCTCTGCCCCAGGTCCCACACAGCAGCAGAGATGGGATGACCTGCTGTAACCACATAGCCCTTCTAAGATGGGTGTGGCCTACACCAAGATGCCAATCAACCTATTGACTGCAAGACATCAAGAAGCAAGACTCCTACCCTTGAAACTTTATCCCTGCCTTTGATGTATCCCCTTAAATAAACCATGGGAACCATTTTCTAACTGTCTAGCTCCAGCTCCTGTATAGACTGGACCTGTCAGGGGTCCGTCTTTAAAACTATCCTTTCTGGCTCTTTGTCTTTTGTTCTTTGCTAATTATTCTAGACATTAATTTCTCAGGTGGTTTACACCCTCTTTGGCAGGAAGAAGAATCCCTTAAGGAGGCACTGGCCACCTCCCTATTGGGTTCTTTTTTTCTAAGTCTCTCAAGTAGTCAGTTTCCCTTATTTATGCAGTGGTATGAGAACCTGATCACAAATTCTTTCACTGAAACATCCTGAGGACCATAACCATTCTATGACAAGTAGTAAGAGCCCAGTGTCCCTGCACATTAGCTTGTGGGCTTAAGTATCCTTTAGTAATGATATCCATTTGTGATAATCTTTAATTAAATTTGGGACCAATATTATAATTCTCAAAGTATTCTCAGCAAACCTGAAACCACAGTGACATTACTGTATACCCTTTTGTAAATGTGAACCATGTAAAGGTATCACTTATTGAAACAAACTTAAAGCTTTCACACACCCTTATTTAAATCTATTTTGATTTTTTTTAATGTTTAAGCATAAAGACTCAGTGTGAGAAACATACATTCATGGGCTATAGTTAATTTAACTCAATTTTAAATAATTGTTTTCATTAGCATTTTTGTCACTGTGACCAAAACATCTGACAAGAACAACTTAGAGGAAAAAAAGTTTTTTGGGGGGCCCACAGTTTCATTCAGAGGTCTCAGTCCACAGATGATTGACTCCATTGCTCTGGGCCTAAGGTGAGGCAACACATCAAGGAGGAAGGGTCCAGCAGAGGTAAGGTCAGCTCTGGGCAGGATCAGGAAGCAGGGGTAGGTGGGGATGGGGAAGGGGCCACAGGAAGAACATTCCTTCCAGGGCATATCCTCAGGGACCTGCCTCCTCCAACCAGACCCCACCTATCCAGTCAGTCCACTTGAACTAGGATGGCCTGATGAGGTCATAGCTCTCATAATCCAATCATTTACCTCTGAATAGTCCTGCATTCATAGGAATTTTTAGGGAATAACTCATATCCAAACAATAATGATAATTAAACCAAAATTCACTTCTATTACTACAGGAATAGCATACATTCAACACACACAATATAATGGTCAGTGGAAAAAGTAGAAGTGATTTTATTGCCTCTGCACTCACCCCCCATAAAATGACTGAAGTGTTCCTCAGCTAAGACCACCCAATATACTCATTTTGAGGTACAGAGAGAATCAAACTTTCCTCACAGCAATTTTCCCTTGGAAAGTAACACTTGCCACTTTCTAGTCTCAAAATGCCAACAGCAGTCTGTTTGCTTAAAAACAGAGTTTAAAAGCAATAAAAATATACCATGTAAACTACAGAACAGTATCTTGTTTATGTTAGCCATGCCATTAGCTCTTGTGACAAGGCATAGTTTATAGGTAAGTTTTTCAAATAAATATACAATATATTTCTAAGAGTATAATATATTCCTTCATTTAAAAATATGGGATGTATGGGCTGGGGTTGTGGCTTAGTGGTAGAGCATTTGCATACCATGTGAGAGGCACTGAGTTCAATTTTTAGTACCACATATAAATAAATGAATAAACTAAAGGTTCATCAACATCAAAAAAAGAATTAAAAAAAATAAAATAAAATATGGGGATGTGTACTTTGGGGGAAAATACTCTACACGACCCAGTGCAGAGGAAAACCTGGCTTTCACCAATTACAATGCTGACTGGATTTTGTCTTCTTCAGCCATCAGCATGGCTGATTCCCAAAGCGTTTTCTTTGATGAGTCACACTAGTAATACAATCACTGTGCCCATCCCTACCTAATATACTGTAACACATTTTCCCCTCCAAGATCTCATCATAATCACTTTCACAAGACGGGAAAAAAAAAAGAAGTGATTAAAGAGGAAACAGGACAGACAGTGAGTAAGCCATGAACGACTGCCCAAAAACCACAGAAAACCTGGAAGATGGTTTCCATGTGTCTCAATTAGATAAGTTACCATTAAACATGGACAAAGAACTACAGAGAGCATTAATAAACTTGCATCCAATCCCCTCTTTATGTAGACAGATCCAAAGAATAAAAAGTACAATTACTGGAGAATTTTATAAAATTGTCTCCTACTCTTCCCCTCCCTGCCCAACCCCCACAAACATTTGGGATGTATCCAATGCAAATCTGTAATCCCATCAACCAATCAGGAAATATTTCTAAAATCACATTAACATACATCTTTACTGTACAAGAGAAAAGACTGAGAGCATATGAACAGTTCTCTTTCTTGTGTCTATTATCTATTCATTCTACACAATTTAGAAATAGCATGTAACAAGCCAGGCATGGTGGTACACAACTATAATCCCAGAAGGCTGAAGCAGAAGGATAGAAAGTTCAAGGTCAGGCTCAACCATTTAACAAGACCCTGTGTCAAAATAAAAAAAATAAAATAAAAAGGGCTGGGGATGTAGCTTAGAGGAAGACAATCCTTGGGTTCAATACAAAGGTGGTGGGAGGAAAGAAAGGTTGAACTTGTAATAATAAGAAACATTTAGTATAAATGATTAGGGAGTTAAAATCTATCCAAATGTGATAAATAAAATTCACAGTTTTAGTAAATTTTTCTAATTATAGTAATTTTCTACAGAATTATTTCCTCCATTAAAATGAGATATTGACTGAATTATGTCCTCCAAAAATTCATGTGCTACAATATGTACAACTCTGCATAAGGGGGAGACAAGAGATATCCATAAAAAATGAACAATGGCAATAAAAAATCTCTATGTGTTTATAAATGAAAAAAAAAATTCATGTGCTAAAGTCCTAATCCCTGGGGCCTCAAAATGTGACTTTACTTGGCAATCGAATCAGGGTAGATGTAATAAGTAAGAATAAGACTATAGCAAAGTAGGGTGGATCCCCTAATCCAACATGAACTATATCCTTACAGAGGTAATTTGGACACAGATATACACACTGAGAGAATGAGATGAAGGCAGAGATCTGGGTGAAGCTTCTGTAAGCCAAGAAACACCAAGGATTACCAGCAACTCATCACTGGAGAGGCATGGAACAAATTCTCTCTCAT